GCTGAATGGAAGCTGAAAGATTTTTTTTTTTTTTTTTAATTCTTCTCAGCTTCCTACAAGTAGTTAGTTTGCAGCAATTTTTAATTAAAAACAGTTTCCATAGTAAGAAAATGGGGTGTGGGGGCAAGAAGACCTCAGGAAAGTAAAATCTGCTCACTAGTCCTACAGTTTGCTTTTCTGAGGCTATGAAGACGGCCTGAAAAACAAGGCGTTTGGAAGTTCTCATTTTTAAACCTGCACTGTTGGTTTCATTTAACATTTTCAAAATAGCTGCTTTCCTAATACCAGCCCCTCCCCCAACCCTCACCAACCTCCTTCAAAAAACTTGGGAAGTCCTCGTTTTTGAACAGTGAGAAATCTTTATAGGATACAGATCAGGATATTCCCAAATTTTCTTTCTAAATTTCTAGGGGGAAGGAAAGGGATCTCTCAACTTATTACAAAGCATTTTATTTTTTCCACCTACCCAAAATACCTAATCTCATTTTAACTAGATTCAACCCGAAGCATCAAGGATAGGGAGCTCTTTCATGAATAAACATGATGCTACAACGTGAAACCCTGTGACCAAGTATATAAAAATGTAGCTGAAATCAAAGAGGACAGAGCCCCCGACTCCCCTCCCAGTTCCTCCCCTGGGAGTTTTAGAGTTAAGCTGATGAGGGGTGAGAAACAGCAGATTTGAATTTCAAGGTCTTCAAACATTTTTAAGTGTTCATATTAAATACTATAGAACTAAACACTGTAATTCTAATAAAATCCTTGTGTGAACTGCTTCCGAGTATAATCATAGTTTTCTCTTTTGGAATAGGATGTGTAATGTTGGTAAAAGAAAAAACCAGAAACAACTTCAAAACATAAGGGTACTCACAGGCTCCTGGCATTCTATGGGATTTTATTACAATCAGAGAAGTGCCAAGATGAAAAAAATCCAGAGACTTAAAGACATCTTCTTTGGAATGAAGACATTTTGGGTCATTTGCATGAGGGAACAAGATATAGAAAACTTAATCACAAAGAAGTTTGTAAGTCTACTTGATGAACTGACATAAATTCTACAATAATCCAACATTAGCTAAATCTCTTCCCTTAAGATGGTGATCACTGTGACGTCCTTGGATAACATATCTTTTTTTTCATCTCATGGTGCAGACCTCAGGAAATAACAAAAAATTATATGCACATTTTGTCTTTGTTGAAGCTTTTCATACAATAAATTCTGAATTCTTTAGAAATATTTTATGTACTATCTAACCATATTCTGTGTGCCATGATAAACTGTATAACTGTACGGCTGAATTCTCCCAAAATACATTTGGCACAGTGAGGCCATTCAAATAAATGAATTTTGGGAGACAGGGGGTCGATTTGTGATCACATACCCAGTGGAAAACGTAACCCTTTCTCTGTCAAGCAACAGTGATAGAAAGCGTAAAGTTTCTCTCCATTTCATTTTAAAGTAGGGTAGGAGCAGAGGATCCAACACAACCAGCTAAGTCTCTAGTGTTGCAAAGAGGTTTTGTTTCCCAGAATACACAGCAGCATTTAAAACATAATCATGTATCTGTTGCTTACTTTTTGATGTGTTCATTCTCCTTTCTAAAGAGACTAAGTCCCATCTCTTAGACTCTTTGCCATAAAGATTAGGAAGCTAAGTGACCTTGTGATAAAATAAATGTAGAGGGTATAAGGTAAGAGGGGACTGAGACGCAGAAACCCAAAGTACCCTTAGTTCCTCATGAGGTACCAGCGCCCCCAACAAAAACCTTGAGTTGTCCTTGTCATTTCAATGGGAAGGTTCAGGAGTTCTCTCTCCCCTTTTTACCTCCTGGAGGCCCAAATTTGCTAGTCGGCAAATGCTAACTGAGGGCCTGACAGAATCCATGCTTGCACATTTTCTCCAGGAACAACCAATTCTTTCACTACCATTTGCAGCTTTGAACTAACTGCAACCTGCAAAGTATAATGTCTGTGCTCTCTAATCTGTTTCTTTATACTTTTTCATATTAAGACAAAGAATTTTAAAATTTCAAATTCAAGGGAGATTGTGAGCAATTTGCAGAGGAGGAAATCCCGACTCCATACCCATTACTTAGTAAGTGATAGAAAAAAGTTAGATACGGGACTAATTCCTAACCCAACACTTTCTAAACCAATAGTACCTAGTGTTGGCAAGACTTTTATCTAATTGGAAGAAATGTCAATGGGAGAATGCTATAGGGGTCAGTCACTGAAGGCCAGTGAGCAGCATCATGGTTCTGTGCTCATTTATTTCCATTAATTAAAAAAAGAGGTCTCAAGGAAATGCCTACAAACTTGATTACAGTTTCTTCATCAAAACTGATTTGTTATAATTTGTTCCTAGTTAAGTGTATGTTCCAAAAAGAATACAAAGTTAAGAGTATTACCCAATGTGTGTTTATCAGAGTTAATAAAAATAATACTATACTATGTACTATAAACCTGAGAAGCCAAAAAAAAGGTGAGGAAGAGAAGATCCAAATGGGTCCCATACTCTCTAAGCTCTAAAAGTGATCATTTGGCAGTCTACTTAGTTGTTTTGTGAATAAGCTGGTAATTCTTACAGAATATCTTTAATATCTTTTTATTTTATTATAACCAATTCTTATTCAGGATGGAGAAGAGCTTTATCATAAATGACTACCATTGCTAAAGCTACCTGAAACTTTTTTATGCAAAGTTATTTCTTTTGCATAAAACTTTGCAAAGTTATCAAAATTCAATATCTAATGTAAATAAATATATTAGAAGCAATGAATGATACTGTCTTTTTCACATTCTATGAAAACAAATTTATGGTGCTGAGACATGTGTCAAGATAATTATTTAGATAATTACTGTAAAAAGATATAATAAAGGGGTACATATGTGGTGGTTAGTTCCAGGACACACTGAAAAATAGTTGTCTGGCAGAATTAAAGACTCTAACATTTGTCAAACCAAGCTTTCCTTTCCTGGTTCTTTAGCTATGTAGTAGCTGCTTCTAGTCAGAGCAAAATCTTTCAAAGTCATAGCCTATAATCTAAAAGTTAGGAGTTCCTGAGTTTGGCTCTCACAAAAGATTAATGTGTCATTTTGGAAAAGATAGAACTAATGGGTCGCTTTCCAAATGTCTCAAACATGAAACGAAAGTGGAGGACTGACTGCACCTCTTATGGGATATTGTATGGGGGCCAGGGTGGGGAGATCGCCCAGCTCAAAGCTAGCAGCCCAGGGCTCTGGAAGGGCCCAGAGGCACCCAGAAGCCAAGGCCTGCTGCAAGGCTCCTCCCAGCAGTAAAGGAAGACACCCTGCTGAAGGCCTCCACAACCTTCTAACATGTAAGCTGGATACAGGTTATTTTTAAATCCTGTTACTATTCAAGAATTAAGCCATAATGGCCTCTGGTGTCTTTTGTAAAAACTAGTCATACTTTGAAAGAGTTTTTCTTTTTTTCAAAGTTGCATTGCAATTACTGGGTGCCTGAACTTTAAGATATTTCCTATCCTTCCAGTTCTGAAAGCAGGCTCAGGCAGGGACTGAAGATTCCAACACACTGTTATAAAGCTTCAAACTATTACACACACAACACAACACAACACACACACACACACACACACACACACACACACATATCTTGCTGACTGCCAAAAACTCACCACCCTAAACACAAGAGACAACATTTATATGTAAGATACTGGCTTCTGGAGATGGCCACAGGGCCAGCAATTATAGTTAACATCCATGGTACATTAACATATAAAGAAAACAGCAGGGATAAAGACAGCCCAGCTTTTAGAAAAACACAAGCCCTTGTCCAGCAGTTAGCCAATCAGAAAGCAGGTCACATCTTGTTAGCTGTATTCAATACATTAAATGTGGAATTCCCTATGGCTTCGTTGACAATTCAAGCAAGTGTGTTTTATTTTATCATACAAACTAATCAAATCCTTTCTCAAAATTAAAAGTCAATCTTCGATCTAAATAGCTACCAAAGCCATTCCCCAAAACTCTCACTGGCACGAATCCTCTGGGTATTTGTACTTTTGCAGAGAAAACTCAAATCCCAGAGATTTCTACTTCCTAAAGTGACTTTGGTACATCTATAGTAAAAACAAAAAGCCACAACTTACAGGCAAGTAAGCAACCCAGCAGCATGTAGTGCCAGTCAGCCAGCCCAGAGGAAAAAGTCAACTGGCATTAAATATTTAAATTGCAGGAGAGGAGTCTGAAGTTATGTGTTTGGAAAGTTCTAAAAGTCCTGGAGTTGCTCACTGCCTGAGAGGCTCAGTCTCCCTCTCAGGCAGGAGATCACCAATGCACAAAACTATTGCTGACTGGAATGCTGAGCCAGCTCCTGTCCCAAGGTAGAGTTGGGAGGTACATCATCTGTGAGAGGGGACCCTGTTGGAACCCTCCTATCTCCAACAACTGGTTTCTGAATTTAACACAGAAATACCGCAAACACGTTTCCCTCCAGGGCTAGCTCTGAAAAGTAGGCAGGGCCACTCTCTTGTCCCCTTTACCTCAATTTTAGTCACTTTACAAAGTAAGTGCAGGTCAAATTTGTACTATATATGCATATCTTATATCATGTATGCACACACACATATTACCAATGCAAAGGATCACAAAATCTCTTGCAACTGTTATCTCAATAAACAGGACCGCCTCCGAGCCTGCAGACACCAGAGTTCTGGAAAAGCTGCTTGTCTGAGGACCCTGCAAGCGAACCAAGTGCTGGGTAGCCAGTTTCAAGATTCCAAGATTCCGGCAGAAACTGTCCCCTACTCCGAGAGTTGCTGTCCTGAAAACGCGGCATTCAAACTCCTGGATTCATCCTGCGCTTATTTCTTACATACATGGTAGTAGCTAATGGGACACTTCCCATAAAATTTAACCAGAAACCCCAGGAAAAGGCCACGCAGTGTTTTGGGTTTTTTTTTTTTTTTTTTTTTTTTTTTTTAGCCACAAACAGAAGCCAAGGCTGAAGTGCTTACCTCCGTGCGAGACTGCAGTCTCTTGTTCATCTCATAGATTCGGTACTCTGGCTGTACCATGTATGGTGTATGTCTCCTATAAAATGGGCCGAAAGGAGAAGAATAGAAGGGGTCATGTGGTGTGCTGGACATCTTGCCTGCTTGTCGAAAATCAAGCTAAACAGAGTATCAGTAACGTCCATGCAGAGCACATGGGCTGCGTTCTTCACAGTACAAAGTAGACGCACGAACACACGCTCACACACACACAGAGGCAGGCAGGCAGGCAAGCTGAACACACTGGTGGGAAGTGCTGTGGGAGCCCTCTATAGCGAGAGAGGAGAGGGAGCGAGGGAGCGAGGAGGGAGGGAGAGAGGGAGGGAGGGAGCGCGGGAGAGGAGGGAGCGCCGGAGCTCAGAGAGGGAGAGAGCGGAGGTTGGAGGTTGGTAGGGAGGAAGGGGGGGAGAAGGGGAGAGAGAGAGAGGAGAGAGGAGAGAGAGGAGAGAGGAGAGAGGAGAGGAGAGGAGAGGAGAGAGAGAGCGAGAGAGAGAGAGAGAGAGAGAGAGAGAGAGAGAGAGAAGCTGGATAGCTGGAGGCACCACTGCTTGTTTTTAAAGAAGCAGTTGGTGGAGAGGTCATTTCCTGTAGACTAGTTCGAAAATATAATTCTCTTCATAGCCTGACAAGAGGTCTATGGCTGGATTTTAATTTTTTTTTTCTCCAACCAAGACCCTGCACAGTCTGATTGCTAAGCTTGTTAGCATAGAGGTGGTTCACCCACTGCCTGAGCCTTTCGCCCCTGACAGCCACACTGTTGTAATATCCGAAATGTGATGACTACCAAACACAGAACACTGACTGGCACTCTGGTGCCTCTGAATTTGACCTGGTGATTCACGCTCCTCCAAGGAAGAGTCCTCTGGGTTCTCACTTCCCTTCAGAGTTTTGGCTGTACCTGTGGTCCTTCTAAGAGCCTGCAGAGTCTTAGCATTCCCCTCCCCCATCCTTACAAATCACCTCTCTGCCCAGCCCCCTCTCTCTCCTCCCAAGGCCTCAGTCAAGCCCTTTAAAGGTGGTTTTAGGGGACCTCGGTTCAATTACTTACACAATTTCAGGTAAAATCAACCACTATGACCTGCATGTGAGGCCGTCTAAAATCTGTCCACAAGGCAATAGACATTTATTTCTAGGAGGGGAGAGAAAAAAAATCCCAAAAACAGACCTCCCAGTAAGACAGGAAAAGCAAAAGAGAAAAAGTCCCACAAAAAAATAAGCATGGAAAATTCAGTTGAGTAAGAAATTGCAGATAATTGGATGGATTGTCCCCCAAGCAGCATGCCCAACTCTGACAGAGACAAGGTCTTGCTTTTCAAAAATGGCCAAGTCTATATATCTTTTCCTAATTGTGGTATATTAAGTGGAAGAAAACCCAAACTGCCTATGGAGTGGGGGTGGAGTGGATCACCAAAGAGAAAGAAGGGATCTGCAAGATAATGAAATTGTTTTGGATCCAGTGATAACGAAACATGTGACACTTAAACAAAGCCCAGCCACAGAAAATATAAATGCATTCATCTAACAAGGTCAGTGGTATTAAGAAAAAAAGAAGTCGAGGACCACCGAAAAACAAGATGAATGCAAGACTTGAATGCAAATGTATGCAAATGAGACATTTCTTCTTTTTTAATAAGCCGATTAATTAACTTTCTGCCCCAATTATGGCTTGGGGTATCTCCCAGTCACTAGCCAACAGGGGCTAGGTATTGCTAAATCTGCAATTGACTTTGAAGAATACTCAGAGGCAAAAATGTCCCCCAAATCATGGCTTGATCAGTCTTTTTCCCACAATTGCAAGAAATGCTTGCAGAGTTCACTTCAAACTTCCAACAGCACAGCCCAGCACAGTCATGCTGTTTGCCAGGATGGGATTAGGAAAGGCATTACACTAGGCTGCTTGGAACTTGTGCTAGGAGACCCCAAAGCAGGCCAGCATGCTGGGTTTCAGGTTTCATTACAAATCCAAAAGCTGGACCAAATTTGCTGCAAGGTTTGTCAAAACACACAACCTTCTAAAGACGAGATTTCAAACAAAATTGGTGTGATTTATGTTTTAGTATGGACCGCCATTGCAAAACCTAACGAAGTGTTCCTGTGCTTAAATTCTCCAAGTAAGACATTCCGAGAGCTTAGTGCCTGCCTGTTTATGTGGATGTTTCAGTGCAAAAGTCAAAGTTAACTCCTAGGCAGGCGTGTGCAGCCCAATACTGATCAAATGTGCGCTGCTCAAAACTCCACCCAGAGGGGGAGCACTGTTCTGATTCAGGAGAGCTTTGTTCTGGGTTGTTCTTCAAACCTCTCCAACTTATCACTAGAAATATTTGCTGCTCACACCTAAGGATTCCACACTCTGAAACTCTGAAACTCTGAGCTCTCTGAAACTTCCTAATGCTTGGTCTACATCCATGATTCCATATCCCCGTTGCTTCAAGAGGCTCCAAACCGGTCTCCTCTTCACAAATTCACAGCTGTCTTCTCACTTATGATCCATCCTTTTTCTAATCAAATGTTGATACTGGAAAGATGAAGGTGACCATGTCCTATGTGTTCCCCTTTAGCATCTTGTTGTTGAAAGTAGAATGTCCAAGTGCTTCCTATTCAAATTACACAGTGCTAGGGAAGGTCCGTGTGCATGTTCTCCCCCCCGCCAACTCTGTGTGTGTGTGTGTGTGTGTGTGTGTGTGTTTCTTTCATACACATTTTTATTTTTTTGTTTGTCATGGATATAGTGCATGTTCTCCCCCCCGCCAACTCTGTGTGTGTGTGTGTGTGTGTGTGTGTGTGTTTCTTTCCCATACACATTTATTTCCTTGTTTGTCATGAAGTTATTTATTTTCTGTACAGTATCTTTCCAAGGATATAATCCATCTCTCTTCATGCACAACCACATAGATGCTTCTGCACCTTTACTTACAAATGCCTAATCGTTATCCCATTCAATTAAATAATCTCCTCCCACATAAACCTTTTTAAAATTTTCTTTATTATGTGCTGGGGGATGCATGGGGAGATGAGATGACAACTTTGTGGAACTGGTTCTCTTCCTGCACCTTTACATGGATTCCAGAGACCAAATCCACTTGAGTACCTTTACCTGAGGAGCAATCTCACTGGCCCCTTCCATAAAGCTTTTATAATTCTTCATTATTCTGAATGGGTAGGGATGCTGCCAAATTCCGCCTGCCTTGTTTGCTTGAGTAAACCTCTTTACCTCAGTCATGTCCTCTGCTAAATGAAGACAGGGATGGTACATAGTCCATAGGGTTGGAAAATCAGGAAACATGAAGTATTAGAACTCTCGCATCTAAGTGTTCAAGCAATGTTCTGATTATTGGGTTCCTGGTTTTTGCTTAGGGGCTAGGGAACACTGGCAGGCCAAAGCCCCCACTACAGAAAACCTACCCTATCAAGTGACTGTGAGGGAGGGAGCTCACCATTTGGGAACATCATTTCAAGTTGTAGTGCATGCTCTGATGGAAATAAAGAGATTCAAAAACCTCTTCTCCCCTTTGGGTCAGCTGTGTCTCAAACATTTGAGGACTTCCACATAAAGCTAACACTTGCTGCCATTTGTTAAGTTCTAACTATGATTGAGCTCTGTGCTGAAAACTATAAACGATTATTCTTAATCTCACAAAAATCTATGGGATTGATTTGATTACTATGCCCACTTTATAGATATGGAAATTGAGACTGCAGGAGGCTAAGAAAGTTCTTCAAGGTCATGCAGTGAGTAGGTGTTGGGGAGACAAGATTCACATATCATTTGCCTGACAGTTGGGTCCTCAGTACTTTCCTGCTTGGAACACATAGCCCCTGACGGCTTCCTCACCCTTGGTCCCCAGTGGCCAGTGTGAGTACTTTAAGGCGGATGGACTAATGAAGTGGGGAAGAAGCAGAGGATAAAGAGAATCTTCACCTGCATGGTATTCTTCACCCTGCAGGGTCTCAGAACTCCACCGGCCCCCCCTCCCCACTCCAGATCCTTCTGAGGCCATGCCAAGCTGCTCCTACCGTTGCCCACAATCTCTATCACCTGCTGGATCCTGACTCCTTCACTTCCTGATTGGCTTGTCTGTCTTCCTTCCTTGCTTCTTGAAGGACCAGTTTTGACTGGACTCCTTCTAGGCCAGAAATGAACAAGAGCAAGTGCTCATTGAGAACTTGAAATTAATATTTTTGAGAAAATAGGAAAATTCAACACAGCAATGTCTGTATGCATCAAAGCATGAGCCAGCAGAGCCCCACGTGACAGTTCTGTCACCCCCACAGATTGGGCTGTGCTAATTTACACGTGATTTTGCATTATGAGAATTGAATAGGTACCAAAGATCTCCCCCACAGATGTTGGAGGTGCCCGAAGCAGTCAACCTAGCCTTTCAGCTCAGAACCTCAGCTAATCCACTCGCTTAAGCTACTCCACAGAGTGCTTGCTTTCCCTTCCATTAAAATACTTCCTTCCAGTTTGAAAAGTAAAAGATTTCACCAAGCACAATTATGATCTTTGTCTTTCCTTGGGTCCCCAGTCCCCCTTTGGCTCCACTCCTGACTTGAGGCTTCATAGCAACAGGGTATGACAGATATTGCCCATCGACACTCCCTAGCGTCCACCCCACCATGGTCTTCACCACCCAAGGCCCCGATTTCCCCTTTGTGTAGTGGTCCCTTTTTCCTTCTCTGCTCACTGACACCCTTTCCAGTCATGTCTACCCAGCTCTGTTTGCTTCAGAAAGCTCCTTCTCTGGCCTCTCTTCAGAGTTCACTCTGTGCACTTCCTTCTGGGTTTGTGTGCCTTGCATACATTCTGCCTTTCGGTCCGGGTCCCCATGTATTTGGTTGATAGGTGTATTCAAGGAGCAGCTCTGCTGGAAGTGGAAGGCCTAGGAAGAAGGACCTTCCTTTCAAGTGACCAGCAGACATGCAAGTAAATGATTTGCTTCCTTCACTCAACAATGTAAACTGAGCACCTACTGTGTACTAAGTATCTAACCAGAAATATAGCCCCAGTATAAAACCAGGGAATCATGGAGGTATTATTTCTTAGCTTCTGGGGCCTTTATAGTGGCAAAGCAGGCTCTGAAGGAGCATCACCAACTGGCCTTGAATCTTTGCTTTTTCTTTCTTTCTTTCTTTCTTTCTTTCTTTCTTTCTTTCTTTCTTTTTCTTTCTTTCTCCCTCTCTCTGTCTCTCTCTGTCTCTCTCTCTTTCTCTTTCTCTCTTTCTTGCCTTGATCTCAAAGACATCTGCCTACCTCTGCCTTTTGAATGTTGGGATTAAATACCTGGCCACATTGCCCAGTCAGCCTTGAATCTTGACTTCAGCTATATGGCCTCAGGTACTTAATCTTTCTGCACCTCAGTTTTGTTCATCTGTAAAATGGCACATTCCTATGATAATATAAACTAATGCATATAAATTGAC